GTGATGTCCAAGGAAGGGGCGATCCTAGCAGAGGCGTGGGGAGCGGTTCCCCCCAGTCTATGCCCATCGCAGACGGCACGTGCTGGAGAAGACTACGCAGCGGTGGTGGCGCTCACTGAGGTCATTGGCAACTACCAGCTGCTGATCGACTGCAAGGGCACAGTGGACTCGGCGCTCAACCTTGGCAGAGCTCAGGGCCCAACTTCGACCTACGCCCATCTCTGGGCCAGAGTTGGGGATGCCGCTGAAGGGGTTGAAGTCAAGCACATTCCCGCACATCGGTCAGAAGCAGCGGTGGCCAGAGGGGAGATATCGGCTATCGAGCTCTTCGGCAACCGCCTAGCAGACAAGCGAGCGAAGGAGGGAGCCGCCCTCCACGCTCTTCCAGCCGACGATGTCCAGCTCCTGGAGGGCTGCTTAGCCAGGGCTCGCGACGCAGCTCGCTTCGCCGCAGAGGTCGAGGTCTTCATCGCGGATTCTGGGATGCGAGACTGCTGGCCGACGGAAGCCCTGGAGAACGTCAACCTCCAGCCGTGCCTCTACCCGTGGAACCTGTCGTGCGAGGACGAGGGCTACGACTTGTTGGACGCCTCCACGGCGCAGCGTGGCAGGGGCTCGGCAGCTGCGTCAGCGGCAGCCTTCGCCGCGGCGGCAGCGACCAGCGCAGCGGCAACAGGTGCTGCTGCAGGCGCCGCGGGCGGCGCAGCGGGGCCTGTCCGCAAGCGCCCAGCGGCAGCGCAGAGGGCCGGCTCCGCCCCTGCCGCCCCCATCGCTGCGGGGCCAGGAGAGGAGGGCATTTCTCGTGCTGAGGCAGCGAGCGAGGTGTTTGCGAGAGAGGTTCGGCGCAGGGCGGAGGCCAGGTCGTCCGCAGAGTCCTCTCAGCGCTCCCAGCTGGAGGAGCAACGCCCGTCCCCTGCCCCCACGACTGGACCCGAGCCATGGGTAGTGCACGGCCACAACATAATGCAGACCAACGTGGTGAGCAAGCCGAGCGAGGCCATCCTGGTGTGCACGCGCTGCTTCATGTACTGCCACCAGCCGCGGTGCGCGCACAGGGGCCTGGCCAAGCCGTGCGTCGGTGGCGATCACAGATCAAGCCAAGGGTCGCGTGCTCAGGCCAGGACGGACTTCGGCAGGTTGCGTTTGCCAGGCAAGGAGAAGCCGCCGATCGTGATGCTCAAGTCGCCGACGATGGAGGAGATGCAGCGCTGGCGGAGGTCGCTCAAGATGGACGACCTCGACGGGCCCATCCTTCAGGTGGACGAGTGCCTGGCGGCGGCGCGTGCTGGCGGCCCTGGCGGCTCGCCAAGGCCTGCGGCTGCGCAGCCTGCAGCGGGGCGAGCTGCTGGCGCGGCTGGGCCTGCGGGCGGCGCGGCGGCGGCTTCGGCGAGCGCCTCGGCTGCCGCGGGCGCGGCGGCGGTGCAGCCCGCGGTGCGCGAGGGCGTGCAGGAGCTCTTCGTGCCCGCCCTGGAGGACGTCCTCCGCGCGCACGGCTTCGCGTCGGCGGACGACGCCCGCGCCCGAGGGCGCGAGGCGGCCCGGGCGCGCGGGGAGCGGGACCGCGCGCGGGAGCGCGGCGCGGCGGCCCCGCGAGCGGCGAGGAGGCGGGGCCAGCGCCGGTGAGCGCCCCCCTCCTCGGCCGCCGAGGGGCCCTCAGCAGTCCCGCGCCGTTTGCGCGGGCATGCGGCAGTGGCCGAGAATTTGTGGCATGACCACGCGGGTGCTCGCGCCCGCTCGCAGAGTAAAAAAAAAAATGCCCCGACTGTACCCATACTGCTACCCTTGCTTCATTCCCTACTTTTTGGGCCTCCTGGGAGGCCCTCGTCGGCACCGTTGGATTCGCTTCGAAGTCCTGATCAGAACGCACCCCGGGAGGTCCAGGGAGTGGCGGTATCGGTACCTTCTGATTTCCCCAAATGCGAACCCTACCCCCGCGGGTCGAATGGGCGCTGGGTGTCGGACAGCCCCACTGGAATACACCTGGCTGCAGACATCCTTCAGGTTCCGAGGCCCGGCCGCTTTTTCTGAAGTCTGACCTGCAGGGCTAGGGTTCACCTGCGGTCGCCTATCTTCTCTTCTCCCTCCTCAACAGTCCCTCAATGTGAATAGTACTCTCCCCACTCCCCTGATACAGCGCTTTCGTTGAATTGCATATCCCGCACATTGCCTCTCTTTTCATGCAGGATCCCAAGATTTCCATGTCTTCTTGATGACATCGGAGCAATCGTGGTTGCTCAGAAGGGTATTCTGACCGCAACCTTGGCCAAACTTCAGGATTGGAATTTTGCTCCCATCGTCAGACTGGCGCTCTCGCCATAACGCGGGCCACATTTCCGGGCCCGATTCCTTATTTGCCTGTTCCTCTTGATGATTCCGCTCCTGTTCCTGTTCCTGTTGCTGCTCCTCTTCCTTCGCCGTCTGCATCCTTCTCTCTTTCTCGTGCTCACCGTCGTGCTCATCGGCCAACTTTTTGTTTGTTCTCTCTCTCTCTATCTCTATCTCTATCTCCTCCTCCCCCTCCTCCTCCTCCTCCTCCTCCTCCTCCTCCTCCTCCTACTCCTCCTCCTCCTACGCGCGCAGCTCCCCTTCCGGATTGCGCATCACACGATATGGGGTCAATTTGGCGATGCAGGTTTGCTAGCTGGCGGTTAGGGAGTCACCAGCGCTATGAGAAGATATTGGAAGGAGGGGAAAAGCTTACAGAGGTGCCACGAGCGTGTCTGACTTTCAGGGGTTTGCCGCCCAGAGTCCTGAACCGTGCTGAGCAGACCGCAAGGCGTTCGAATAATCTTCGTTCGAAGCCTACGTGAAGCATTGAACCGGCTGCGCAGCGGTGTCCACTCCACTCCGCACCACTCCTGCGCACTGCGGGGCACGGCGGTCTGTCCGCGGAGCCCGCGTCTCCTCCTCCTCCTCCTCCTCCTCCTCCTCCTCCTTCGCCTCCTCCTCCTCCTCCTTCTCCTCCAATCCAGTCACTGTTTGGAATTATGTAGGTGCCGCCCGACTGCACTTCACGTACAACTGTACATCAGCGAATTGCACGTTCCACCCAAGACTTTGGGGTCAGGGGGGCTGGGGGACCACCAAGGCCAGGCATCTCTCTCGCTAATGGATGGAACCCGCATTGGCTATTACAACTCGATGGAGGCGATTTGATCAGAGAGACTAGAGGACATCAGCAGTGAGTTGAAGTCATGGAACGTGGTCCTATTCAGTGGCACGTGCAGATGGGCGAGGGAAGTGCAGAGACAAACACCTACGCCACCGTGTCGTACTGCAGTTTGAGGCAAGGATGGGTCAGTGGTGAAAAACTCTTGCGGGGTCAGAATTTTACTCAGCCGCAGGATGGACGAGAGGAGGAGGAGGAGGAGACAACAGACTCGGAATTCTGGTTCTGGAGTTGGAAAGTTGTTGGTTCGGTGTTTCACGGGGTTGGGGGTGTCGCCTCCAGGCGATTCCAGGTTTCGTTTGGCGGTTCTGGGTTTCATCCAGAACGATTCTGGGTTTCGCCTCGTGCGGAATTCTGGGCTTCGCCATTAAAAAAACAACTTGGGGGATGCACGTTGACCGTGGGTGATGGGCCACGAAGCGTGCCACGGGTGCGCTGAAACGGAGGCGGCGCCGCCATGCGAACCCTGCTTTGCGGTGGAGCTCCCTATGTGGCCGCGGAACTCGTGATGGGGTGTGCCGAAGTGGGCAGGGCCACGCCGTGCGAACCCTGCCACGAGGGCCTTCGGCGGAGCTCCCTACGGGGCCACGGATCGTGTGAGGGGTCTGCCGAGGGAAGACGCCACTCGGGCCCTGGCATTTGGGCCTCCGGTGTAGCTCCCAGTTGGGCCGCAAAACGGATGAGGTGTGTGCCGACACTGGCTGGGTGACGCCATGTGGGCACTTTGGCATCTTGGCCTCAGGTGGATCTCCCTACGGGTCCACGACGCCCGTGTGGGGTGCCTGGGATTTTGGAATTTGGTCGGTCTCCGCAAGCCCGTATGGGTCCCCGAATCGCTTGAGGGGTGCCTGGTATTTCGGCATTCGGTGAAGCTCCCTATATGTGGCAACGAAACGTGTGAAGGGGTGGCGCCATGATGCGGGCCGTGGTGTTGTGGCCTTCGGTAGAGCCCCCCTTATGATTGGGTTACGAAGAATGTGAGGAGTGTGCCGTAATGCGCGGGGTGACGACATGGAGGCCCAGGCATTTTGGCCTTAGTTGGATCTCCTTTTGGGGCAAAGAAGCATGTGAGGGTTGTGCATGTGACTGATGGATGTTTGAGAGGACGGGAGGGAGGGAGGAGGAGAGGGAGGGAGCAATGGGAGGAGCGGACGCGGGGCGCTGCATATTCAAAGCGGGGGCCCAACATCACAGACTTGTTTGGAAAAGACAGCATCGGCTCCCTGGTGTTGGGAAAATCGCCCTATGTCATCGGGGTCATCGGGGCGTTGGGTTTGTTGTTGTCATCGTTGCCCTTGTCCGCCCGGCAAATGTCTGGGGGCCCTTCCTCCCCGCTGGCGCCTGGAACCGGCTTGGAATGGTGGCGACCCCGGCCTTCGGCTGCTAGAAGACAAGGTGGTGGAGACCTCGGTCGGAGAGGATGGGACACGAAGCCTTGGAGTGTGAAGGCGCCCTGAACCCCACACGCAACCTTCCTCACGACAACCGCCCCCGAGCAGCCCACCATGCTCGGAGGAGCGTTGCTGTTTGAGACTGTCGTCGCAGGCTTCCGGTTTGTCGAGTGGCCATGGGCCAATTTCGCCACCGCGTTCGGGTCGTGGACGCGAGGCGTGTTGGGCCTCTTGGGGGCCTTCTTTGGGCCCTCTTGAGCCCTCCCAGCAGCCTCTCGAGGTCTCCGGGGCCCTCGTCAGGCCAGCCACAACCGGGGGAGCTGTGGTCCTTGCCCTCCTGGGGGACCCATCGATTTCGACGCCCCTCTCGAGAGATCGTCGACGCAATGGGTTCCCCCAGGGGGGTAAGGACCACAGCTCCCCCAGTTATGGCTGGTCGGCTCGTGGGAGCTTCGTGGGGGCCTCTGGGGATGCTACCGGACGCATCTTGGGGCTCGTGGGTTTGCACACGCAGCGCACTCCACCTCCCTGCCTTCTCTTACCTAGAGCGTCCTCACCGCCGCACCGGCGAGGACACGGCGAAGTTCGTCAGGAGTGGCATCTCGGTCACGACGGCACCCCCGCACCAGTCGTATTGCGGTCGTGTTGCAGGGGCGGGGGACGGACCCACATCCCCGTCGATATAATGTTTCCAATTTATAGTTTTTCCTCGATTTCGGCACCCGGGGCTCACTTTTAGGCCCCAGCACCATTGAGCATTGATCCGGGACGAAAACAGGCCCCAGGGGAGTGGTCGGCACCTCTGGGGCCGCAGATGCAAAAACACACATCGGCGGATGTCAGGGGATGAGATCGAGTTGCAGGCAAGACGCTGAAGCAAGGACCTCTCTGGTTCAGGAGGGGCTCTGGTGCTCGGATCGCTCGTCGGATCCAGGTCGATGGGCTTATCCGTGGCCGAGGCTCTCAGATGGGATCGCTGTGCATAGAAAGGGAGGGGTGCTTAGCTGGACGGGAGAGATGCAGGGTGATTAATCATATTCAAGTGCATACATATGGCAAACAGAAAACAAAGAGATGCATGCAACTGAGATGATTGGCGGTATGGTACACTTTCGCGTATGATGGGTCGTGCGTTGATTTGCTTCAGTGCGTTACCATTGTTGTCTGGATGTCATTCGAGCCAGCGGGCAGGTCAACTCACATTTGGTGGCAGAGTTGTGGGCGCAAGCCAGTCCGAATTTCATGGTCGTACGTATTGAGGTTAGTAAGTATTTGTAAGCACCGCGATCACGTCTTGTTTAACTGACGATTCTCAAGTGCGTCTGCGCCTTTTTTATCATGTCTTTTAATCGAACATTTGACTCCGCTAGGAACTGGCAGATGTTGACTGGTCGTGTCTCGCATTGACTAGATACGTGAGAACGCGGTGCTGGATACGGCGAGAGTCCAGATGGGTTGGTGCGCGGCGCTTGAAAATCAGTCTCGGACTGCCACATACCACATCATATATTGTGACAGCCTCACGGCCAGTGCGCCGACCCTGAGGCGGGACCTCCCCCAGGACCCTGGGCCTCCCCCCCAGGGCGGGGGATGGGACCGGGGCCACGGCCGGGGCTGGGGCATGGTTCGGTGCTGGGGCCAGGGCCAGCCCCTTCCCACAGGGGGAAATCCTCGATGCCCCCTGCCACAGGCAGGTGCGACCAACCTCAGGGACCACGGGGTCAGTACTCCCAATCCCTTATTGATCGACCCATCGACCCCCCCCTAAAAAACCGTACCCCCTTCCAAATACGACCTGATATTCCGGACCCCCTCGTCGACGGGGCGCCTTAATATACTGGACCTCCCAAGCTCCAATCCACAGAAAACTCCCTGATAAACCGGACCCACCCAGTTACAAAAAAAGGCGCCTTAAAAAACCAGACCCGGGGGACGATTAATAAGGGATTTGGAGTAATCTGCCCCGGGGCCCCTCCCTCTACCCCTCCCCTATCCCCCCCCCTACACTCCCCCCCCAGCGTCAGAGAAGGGAGAAGGGGAAGGACATCGACTTGATTACGACGTTTCTTCTCTCTACTCGGACAGTGCTCTTTCTGCCACATGCCACGTCATAGATTTGGTCAGTGAGGTCTGTTGCAGACGCGAAGTTGCGACGACGACCTATTAATGTTTTTATTGTTCCCTGCTGTCGCGAGAACATCAAGCAGTGGCGAAGCGTCCTGGCGTGCCTATAGTAAGAACCTGTGTGATTTCCACGAAGTGTTATTAGAAGATGTCTGGCTGGGACTGTCTTGTTTTAACACATCGGCTTTACGTTCTAAGAACATTGTCCTTGTTCTTCGAGCATTTCCAGGTTCTAAGAACATTCCGTGGTAGGCCTATAGGAATGCCGGGACGGTCGGTCCCTGCTCAAGAACAGTATCCGACGGTGGGACGCCACTGATGTTATATGCAGGGAGGAGCCCTGCGGAACGCCTTGCTCGGCGTATGGGCGACAAATGAGTTCGCATGGCCTACCATTGGCATGACAGGATGTTCGGACAGCTCAGACCTACTGGCGACCCACATGTCGAAAGACCTACGAATGTCCAACGTAGATTTCGGGCTCAGGCGGACGACGTCAACCTTTGGAATCTCTTCGGGCTCCCGAGGCTCCTTTCTGACCCGTTCGGTATCTAAGCATGTTCTGCAGTCGGAGAGGGCTTCACTTTGGAAAGTAGCCTGTGCGAGTTTGGCCCGCTCGGCGGCCTGATCGCAGGTCAACCTATTTGACGAACGGGCTCAGGTGTGATTTGGGTGCAGAAGGTAACCAAGGGGCGAGAGGGCCGTTCTGGACGGCCTGGGCATCCCAAGAAGGCTTTCGACGAGGACCAGCTGCTAGAAACAAAATGGGGGAGGGCTGCGAACACATTTGACACAACCATGCGACACCCCCACATAAGACAACCCCAACAGCCGTCGAAAGCTGGGCCACCGAGGCGCAGCTGCTGGGGAAAACGGGCCCTCGGGCCATAAGACGTCCGCATTCGGGAGCCCCCGAATCGGCGGACGAGGAATCGTATAACATCACGTCTGCCGCAGCGGGACGTTCACATACCAGGCGGACTGGAAGCTTATACCCCCGGGTGGCACGCAGAGTTATGAATTTCCCAGCCGCCCTGGGACACGTGTCCCATTGGCCTCAATTGTTATCACACACATGCAGTGGATGTCGGCCCATCCCGCCACTGCGCCTGGGTCGTTGAGAATACGCCTCTTGAAGTTCTCGTGGGGTCTCTGGGCCAGCCTCTTATGGGCGTCTTGGACGCCTTGTGGTGGCCTCGTTGGGGGCTCTTGGAGGTCTCTTGGGGTCTCGTTGGGCTGGGGGCATATCGGGACCCTCTTGGGGGCCGCATGGCGGTCTTGGGGGGGGGGGGGGCAATATTGAAGGAAAGGGCTCGACATGTCAGTGTGAGTTCCCAGTCTTTGGCCCCCCTTGGGCCCTCGTGGGGGCCCTCGGAGCCGTCTTGGGGTGACGTGATGCTCTGAGGGGTCGAAAAGCCGATTATGCCAAACTCACACGCCCGCTTGATGCGTTTCATTCCCAACCGTCATGTTGAGTTGGGTCCTCGTTTTGAAGAGACAGCGCCCTGCGTCTCTCCTCTCCTTCTTCCTCCCCTTCCTCCTCCCTCCTCCCCCTCCTCGCCTCTGCCCTCCGCGTGTACCATTTCGGCACACCCCTCAAACGTGTCGTGGCCCCATAGGGAGCTCCACCGAAGGTCCACATGCCAGCAATCGCATGCACCCACCGCGTGCATTTTGGTAACCCCTCACACATGTCGTGGGTGGCCCAACAGGGAGCTCCACCAACGGCCCCAGTAGCTGCGTTCGCATGCGCCCACCGCACCCATGTTGGCACACCCGCACAAGTTTCGTGGCCCCATGAGGAGCTCCATCGAAGGTCCACATGCCAGCGTGCGCACGCGCCCACCGCGCCCATTTTGGCACCCCCCTCACTTGCTTCGTGGCCCCATAGGGAGTTCCACCGAAGGCCCCCGTGGCTGCGTACGCATGCGCCCACCGCACCAATTTGGGCACACCCCGCACACACTTCGCGGCCCCATAGAGGGCTCCACCGGCAGCCCCAGTGGCTGCGTTCGCATGCGCCCACCGCGCCCATGTTGGTACACCCCTCACACCTTGCGCGGCCCCATAGGGAGCTCGACCGACAGCTCCAGTGGCTTCGCTGCACGCATGCGCCCACCGCACCCATTTTGGCACACCCCTTGCACGTTTCATAGCCAGGGAGTTCCACCGACGGCCCCTGTCGCTGCTTTCGCATGCGCACACCGCACCCATTTTGGCACATTCGTCGCACGTTTCGTGGCCCTAGAGGGAGCTCCTCCGAATACGGTGCATGCGACGACGGTGTTCACAACTGCACATGCCTGGGTCCGTCGCCAGGCTCATTTTTTGGGGGGCTTCCTATTGGCCGCCCCCGACACCCTCCCAAACTATAAGAATGCGCCCAAGAAGGCTCCGGGACGGACCCTGAAACTGCGCGTCTGGCTACGTGCTGACGTATGGGGTCTTCACCATTCTCACGAGGCCTCTGAAACAACGCGCAGGAAAACGCGCGAGCCGCCCCGAGAGCGCCCGGGGCTCGAGGACCGGGGGCCCCCTCCAGAGCAGCGCAGCCCCTGATACAGAGGGCTCGGGGCCCGAGGACAGCCCACTCAGCGCCTCATACAGTATGCACGCGGGTCGTCGGAAGTGGGTGTTTTTGCCTTGCCAGATCCCATTCTGTGTTGGGCGCCTGCTTACTTCAATCATCGATCTGCCTTTGCTGCGTTTGTTATTCTCTGGGAGGGCCTGGACCCAATCTACTTGATTTGCGTTCCTATTTCATGTGTTTTGCCTACTTCCGCCGACCGACGTGTATTCTCACATTCGGCCGAAAAACATCCAGATGCTGGCTCGCCGTCGCCGTCGGCGGCGCCGCCGCCGTCCAAGATGGGGGACCGAGACAGGGCAGGGCGTTTCAGAGAGGGCCTCGCCTTCCCCACGGCGGCAGGTGGGGGTGTAAATTGTCCAGCTGCCATGGTACAGGCATCCCGGAGGAGAAAGAACACAACCACAGCAAAACCGTTTATTAACAGCAGCAAATGTGAAGACGTGGGTAAAGGAGTGGGAGGTCGGCGAGTGAAAAAGGGCATTCCGACGTATGGCCAGGGATTCCTAAGAAACGCTCGGTCATGTAATCCTTAGGCACTCTACTCCATATCCTTTATGAAAACGCCCCTTGCCCCCTGAAGAACGGCCCCCCCTGCTTCGGTTACGTAATATTCTGGCCTCCCATCCACAGGAGGCGCCTCGATGTCGACAGTGCTCGACCACTGGCCTCCCCACTCGTTCACGCTCCCCCGACGTATCCCTCCCCACTCCACTCCTAGTCCACTCCGCTCCTCTTCACTCTGCTTGGTTACTAGAAGCACTGACAATTGAGAATCACATGTGTTCCCTGTTCCAGCATGCGGATTTGCGTCGGCGAGCAATATATGACGTGCAGTATCCCTCTTCCCATATTCTTGCAAGCCCGGGGAGCAGCAAAAACGCCCCCCCCCCCCCCCCCCCA